ATCTAGAAAATAGGTTTCATTGTAATCAATGTTGTGTCTTTGTGTGAACCCTTGTGCTACTAATCTTACATTATATCTTCACCGCCTCATTGTTCTCATTCTGTTTCTGGACGAAAACCCATTTGAATCCCACAAGAAAGATTTTTGGAGGTGTAGGTATTACAAATGTGAATACACCTCTTTTAGTGAGCGAAGCAATCTCAGCTTGGATTGCTTCCTTCCATTGAGTCCAATTCGAGCATTTTTTGCACTCTGCCACAGTCTTGGGATCTGAATCATTTAGGAAGATTTCTGCAATTGTTGCGGAGAAGTACATGTCGATAATTGTAGTCTTATGGTCATATGATTCTCTAGTATCAATGTAATTGATGGAAATTTCTTTCACCTCATTAAGTGACTCGTTATTTCCCAAAATTATGAAGTAAGGGTGTTCCGATGTCCCAGGATCAGAATTTGGTGCACCGTTGATCCGGGTTGTGGTTTGGAGGATCTAGTCCTCGGTATAACCTCAGACGGCTTGGAGCATTGTCCTTAAGAGCGAGCATACTTCTCCCCCTTTATTTGGAAGTGGGAGTTGAATGGTTTTAATTGGTACCTCCACTCTTTGGGGCGTATTATGAGAAGGATAAGAGGATTTTGTGACAACCTTATAATCAATAAATGTTTATGGTAGATTATTTGCAATATGTTGTAAATTTACGATTTTATGAATTTGAAGTTCAGTCTCTTGAGTACGTGGATCTGAGGAGGAGATGCCTTGGGCATTCCAATTGATTTCCTAGGATTCTCTTTGGTAGTTGAAGTCTCCCCCTAATGTCGGGAAATGATCCTCATTGAATATGTAGTCAGCATACCAGGCCGTGAATAAATCCCCTATGAGGGGATCGAGTTATTTGATAATCACATCGATGGAGATTGATATCCCACATAGATCCTAATTTCCCTATGTGGGCCCATAGAGGTATGCTTAGGCAGTGAGACGATACATATACAAGGCAACCCAATTTACGCAGATAGGAAATATTTGGCATATTCCTAGTACTAATTGCAATGGGGAGACTGAGTGATATACAATTGGTCATAATTGAATTAAGTCAACAGAGTGTAAGACCGCATGACCTCCAACATGAAGTTGGTAGGTTGTAATTTTTGTAATAAGGGTCTTGTAATGAGTTTAATTTCTCTTAATAAGAGATTCTGCTAAACCATTTTGTGTATGGATATATGGGGCAGGGTGCTGAACTTGAATTCCTAAAGCCATACAATAATCATTAAAATCCCGTGAGGAAAATTCAGCAGCATTGTCCATTTGAATTGATCACATTTGATGTTCAGGATTATGTGCTCTAAGTTTTATAAATTGAGCAATATTTTTTTGCAAATGCATGGTTACGTGTGGACAAAAGGCGCACATGAGACCATCTAGTAGATGCATCTATTAGGAGCATGGAATACCTGAACGGTTCAGACAATAATTGTATGACACCATATATCGCCTTGAATGCGTTCAAAGAATTTGAGTGGCTCATTTTGGATTTTAACATGGACATAAATTAATTTTCCTTTAGCACATGCCGTGCACATAAAATCTAGAGATTTTGAGAACTTAGCAGTATTTAGCTCATGACCATTAGAATTACTAATAATTTTTTGCATCATCCCTATACTAGGATAGACAAGTGAAAAGATCTAAATGGCTAGAGAAGAGTGAATAGCCTAATTAAAATTTCTACAAAAATACTAGAGCCAATTTTGTTAGACCATAAGATGGCGGTATAAACAAATTGCTAGCTCTACAACACATCAAGCAAGCCACCTACACAAGCTAGCTGCTATGATCTCTAAGGTTGGTTTACACACAAGTACACAACTTAGCAACTAAAGCTACCAATATAATATAGAGAACAAGCTAGCAAGCAAATTACGACTAGTTACTACTAATTGCTACTTCAGGCATGGGTAGGAACGGCAGAGAACAGCGGCACTACGGTAGCAGCAGCTCTCTCGCATATGACACTTCCTCTCTGCATGCAAGCCAAGGGCCGAAATTTCCAGGCCAGGCAAGAACAACAGCCCCACTTCTTGTCTATTTTCATCCTTCTCAAGCAAACTAACAACCAATATGTTCCAAACATTCATGCACGAGAGTTAGCATTTTCACAATGTATTTTTTAAGGGTTTGTTAGCACTCACTAGGTCCTAATGCAAATACAGTGAATCACCTGGTGACACTTGATAACCGCAATTATCATGAGTTTTCCCCTCTTAATACTATGACTATCAATTCTAAACCCGATCACGCACTCTATGCATCTTGACCGGCCAAAGAAAAGCCTAGCTTATACCTTTGCCTTGTCTCCCTGGTGGGTTTAGCTTTTCACCTTCTCTTTTCTAAGTTGGAGCACTTGATCAACATATTGTGTCCATCTCCATCACCATGAGTGCCATCACGCCCATTCTCGGACTTGGATCAAACTATCTCATACATACACTTAGAGCATATGTTTAGTCTAAATAGGTTTCATCAATTAGCCAAAACCAAACTAGAGCTTTCACCAAGGTGTTCACTCCAAGTTTAAAATGTGTTAACATTCTAAAAATTTACCTTGTACGCAACGTGTGGTACGGGTTTAATGTATGTGTAGTACAATCCGGATGGAAAAGCGGGAACTTTCTCAACAATTTGATTGCCATATCCGCTATCTTTAGTAACGGGGAGAATTTACTCATTATTGTCATCACGGGTTTCAATATGAAAACCATTTTGACTGATATCTCTATAACTTAATAGGGTATGCTTTGAATCGTGATACAATAGTGCATTCTCAATTGTAATTTGGGTACCCGTACGGAGTACGATAGTGGCGCAACTAGAACCAACTATCGTAGCATCGCACCCAACGATTGTCAAAACATTTCGTGCCTCCTCCATCAGATTGACCCCCGTAGGAATCGGTGATGGTACATAGGGCTCGTGCCTATGTTTTCTCCTTGTTCTTGAGAGCGAAAGTCATGATGACATGTTAAAGTGAAAGGTGAATGAACAAGTAATTGAGAAGAACGCTAACTTTCCTTGATCTCTTGTATGTTTATATACATGTGAAAGGGGTGTGGTGAATAGACACAACCGTTTACCATAACTGACGTCCAAAGGACATGTCCCTTTTGTGACATGGTTAACTGTCTAATTCTATTACTAATTTGAAAGGACCTTGATGTCGCCTAGAGGGGGTAATAGGCTTGTAAAATTTCATCTCAAACAAAAGTTAAATTCCAGAGCGACAGTGCGGCTCTGCGAGTGGCACTGCTGCTCGCTGAGCGACAGTGCTACTCTGGCTGACACCCGAGAGTATAGTTCAAAAACTATCCAACAAAAAATAGATCGAATAATTTACTGATGTTCCTGGGGTAGTGTAGAGTATATTCCATCACCTGTATGTTGGAGAAAGTGCATGAGCAAGTAGATCGGGACCAAACCCTAGAATCACCACAAACCAAAATATTGTAATGCAAAACACAAGTGCACAAGTGAGACACCAATTTATCTCGTGATTCAGCTCGCCACTAAGGCTTGCCTATGTTCACGTTGTTGAGGTAGCCACAAAGGCTTTGGGTCTCTTTCAACCCTATCCTCGTTCTCAAGTTAAGAGAGCAAGTCTCTTGAGAGGAGGGGTGTTTCTACTAGATGATTGGGGTGATTACAAACCTTCCAGGGCTGCCACACAAGTTGGCAAGCTGCACGGGCGACGCTTTAGCCGGCTAGGAGCAAGCTTCAAGAGTAACAAATACAATTCACCGGCTTGAACGCGAACCAAGTGTTCTAGGAGTTGAAGAACAGATTGGTGAGCTCTCTAATGCTGTTCAGAGGGTCAAACTCTCATGGATTTGCGAGGGAAGCAAAGGAGAAGCTTGAGGGCCTCCAATGGAGTTAGAGAGAGGGAGAGAGCTATTGTCTGAGCATCGGAGAAGGGAATGGTCGAGATGACCATTGGGAGAGAAAAGGATGAAGGAAATACCCCTTCCTCCAGGTCAGATTTTAAGGCGCGACACTGCTGCTCTACGAGCGGCAGTGCTGCCCGAGCGGCCCTGCTGCTCAGAGAGGGGCAGTGCTGCTCTGGCCTGTCAGCTCTAAATTGAAAACTATTAGATAGGCTGAAAAATAGTTGGGGATACATTTGTTGTTGGTCCAACGGTTTTCAAAATCTAGCTCATAATATATAGAAGATAATTTTGCATTAAGAATCCTGAACTATTTTTAAATCACTCTAACTATTTTTTATATTTTTTCTCTTGTATATTTATATTAGAAACCTTGTCCACTTATTTTTCCCACGTCCCTCCAACTTTCGATTGACCATGAATGCATGCGATTGACCATGAATGCATGCGTATATTTCAGTGATGGGATCAATTTTTTTAAAAAAGATTAGGAGTTGAGATAAAGAGTCGTTGGAGAACAGCTTTTTTAATCTTACAGAACAAATTAAGATTGAAAGTGGAATTTATAAACTCTTGGAAAAGATACAGATAGAGTTCTCTATTTTTTTTAATTGACATAATCATTGGTTTACCAAAATGATTCTAAGAAGTTTTTGAGATGCTCCTACTCCAAGTTGTACTCTTTTTATTCTTTTTTCCAACGAATACCAATGTTTCATTAAAAAATAGTCCCAACTTTGTGAAATGAGTGAAATTATGGGATACACCCAAGAATATTCTTGTTCCGGCAGACAGCAGGGGCAATCACAGACAGCCTATATGGATCCCCTTTTTCCCCCCGAGTCCCCAAGCAGCCGCGAAGAGAGATCCCGCGCTCAACCACCGCTTCTCGGCCGCGGCCTCCTTCGGCCCCTCCCTTCCTCCACCCCTCCGTTGGCCGACGGGGACGGGGAGCGAAGAAGACTCCCTTCCTCCTTCCCTCCGGTGGTCGCCGGGGACGGGGAGCGAAGAAGCCTCCATTCCTCCTTCCCTCCGGAGGTCGCTGGGGACGGGGAGCGAAGATGTTCTATGGGACCATGGTATGGGACCCGTGGCTGATCGTGTCGCAGATCGTGTGCCTGCAGTGCCTCTACTACCTGTCGCTGGGCGTCGCCATGGCGCTCCTCGTCGGCACCCGCGTCCCGCGACTCACCCTCCTCTACCTCTTCGACTTCGCCACGCTCACCCCGCGCACCCCCACGGGTTGGTGCGCCATCGCATCATTCCTCCTCGCCGCCGTCGCAGGGTACGCCGCAGCTCCCTGACCCCACTCTCATCCACTTGGTTCGTCCGAAACTGGAATGGATTCTTCTGGAAGTACTCAAAACGCGAAATATGCCTGTCGCGCGCGCGTGTGCTGTGGCTTATCGCTTCCGGGTGCGAGAACTACTCTTGTCAATGGAAAGTTAAGCGGGCTGTGTGTTCCCAGGTGTCCAGATCTGTACGTTTAGGGCAGCCACATTGACTTGGAAATTTCAATTTCAACGTCTTTATAAACTGCTATTTCCTTAAGCACTAGTTGAGTGCAAGAGCTCAGAGGTATCGTTGCAGCAATTGGTATTGACATATGTAGAAAGTACTGCGTATAAAGGTTTTGGTATTATTGTTATGAGCCTATTCATTTTGCCATCCATTGTTTAGTAGCTTACCATATGTATTATGAAATAATACTCATAGGTTTTTCTATTATGCTCGAGAGTAACAGATACCTTAGTCTTCTTGTCAATTGCTTATTCTTGAGCCATACACCATTACTTGCTTATATATAAAAGAATAAATGACACCAACATATTGCCATTTGTTAAATACTTTTCTGGAATGGGGGTAAGCAGGCCGTATGCAAAACATGCCCCCCTGCATTCGTTCTTTTCTGACAATAGTGGCAGTATATACAAGGGACAAGGTAAAGAGGAAAACGTCTTTTGCTGCCTCGCATGATCACTCGTTCCCCAATTAACAGTACCATCCTTTGCAATCCACTAATTTCCTTAATATCTGGTGTCCAATGTATCCATTTCAAATTAAAGCATCTCGAGCAAGTATCAAAACAGCAGAATACCGATTGCTCTTTTCCTGTAATAAGTATTTTTAGAGTCTAGCTACTTACATTTATTTAGACACTACCTTTCTTCTGGATAAATTTTGTAAAATGAAGCAACTATATGAAGGATAATGTAATGATTTTGATCCCATTTTTAGCATTGACAGTTTGGTATTATTTATTGTTTTTCAAGATTTGCAACTCTTCTTTGTTTTGGTGAGAAATGATTTATTGCTAATCTTGCTTCCATGCTTTGCTTGAGCAGAGCTGGGTTCATGCTTTATGTGATTGAGAGAGCCAAGAAGTGCCTGGACTTTGCAGCAACACTCTACATAATCCATCTCTTCATTTGCATTGTTTATGGTGGATGGCCAGCTTCAGTTTCATGGTGGGTTGTTAATATCACTGGTTTGGCAATCATGGCTCTCTTGGGTGAATACCTATGCATTCGGCGGGAGTTGAAAGAAATTCCAATATCACGGCTTCGTGCAAGTAAGTGATTCATTCATATTAAATGCCTTTTTGTTTCCTTTGGATACTTTGTTTGTACATGTAGACTCCATTCCAATGTATTTCCTTACCTAGTTAGTCTCCCACTTATTTTTCTGTGCACAAGAGTCTGGTTCAGCAAGAATTTTACATTGAATTGAAAGTTAACATATGCTTACAATGAACTCTGAAGCAATGAACATGTTACATTTTTAATAAGGTTACATTCCACCAATTTTCTAGCAACATTAAATTTGCAACTTAACCATGTCCAAATACTTGATCTACCATTTACCTATACCTTTGATGGCCATTACAAGACCTCACACTGTACAGTGTACTGGTGGGACATATTGTGTCAGTATAATGTAATGTGAACATTCTGAAAAGATTACTGGCCTGGTTATTTCACTGATGGACCTATAGAGAAGAGAGTGCAAAAGTTCAAGTAGAGAGACATAAATGCTCACTGCTCAGACATGCTCAACTTTGGCTAATTTCTTTACATTTTATGTGCTATATAGTTTGTTGCGCTAATCACAGTTTTTAAGGCGGTAAGGCGAGGTGCGGCGCTCCACCCCCTTCCAGACGCCTAGGCGAGTTAGGCGTGTGGCGAGGCGACGCCATACACATACTCTAACCTTCCATAGGACAGCACAAACATACACTTATACATGCCTTTCTGCTGCCAATTCTGGAGCCCATGTAGCAGTGATCCTCCTGTTTCCGGTTGTCTTCTTCCATGTGCCATACAGCCCCTAACAAGTTTCAACATGTGTGACTCATTAATATAATTATGTAACAGAAATACTTTGTAATCAGATTAAATATGGATAGTGAAATACCTTTTGATGATCTGAACTCTCTTTTCTTCTCCCAAACAGCAAGCTGCATATACAATAAGGAATTTAGCAACAGCAAGGAAATTTAGCAACAAAAGACACAAGCAAATATCAATATATCATCATTACATCAGCCCATAAACTTAGATAAGAGTCTTAGTGGCATAGTTAGCCACATTACAAACATTCCAGAAATATAGATAAGAGTCTTAGTGACATAGTTAGCCACATTACAAGCAGTTCACAAATATAACTACGTAAGATAGTCTTAGTGGCATAATTAGTTGTCCACAGCCACAATTACATAACATAGCCCAACCACCAAAAGTTCTCATGGCATGCTAAGTACAGCACAAAAGTAATTTTAGTGCAGATCTGAAATCTGCTAGCAGCCAACTCTCAACAGTCAATATCCGTCATCAAACTCATCAAGAATGTTTGGAGCCTCCATGTTTTCGCCGCCACCGTTGGAGCCATTGGGATCCTGCTCACAATCACTCACATCAGCATCGTCATGTGGATCTTCCTCTTCCTCTTCTTCATTGTCCAAACCAAAGTCTTCTTCAAATTCAGCCAACCTTGACTTTCCATTTCTTGCACGCTTGCTGCTGGCATTCCTTGGAAGATTGCGGCCTCGCAGCGAGCTTGATGCACCAACAACTTCATCCACATGTTCCCATGTAAGGCCATTACCATTGTCACACCCACGGGCACCTTGAGGATGAACATAGGAGTCAGCCCACTCATTGTCTCAATAAAACTCCTCAATGACCAAAGGATCAAATTTTTTCCCTTTTTTCTCACGCCTTAACTGAAACCTGGTCTTCATCTTCCGGTTGTAGGAAACAAACACAATGTCATTCAATCGCTTATGCAGTAACCTATTTCTTTTCTTTGTATGCATCTACAAAAGAAGAATGGGAAAACAACAAATAAAGGTGTCATTAATTGGCTAGCTGAGCACAAATTATACTGGTGTTCACCATCAGAGCCTCAGGGGCACATATAACAATGAGTCAATGACACAGATCAATAAATTAATCTCTTATGCAGCAAAGTTCAGACATCAGACAGACAAGCAATCAAGCATATATTAATTATTCACAGCAATTAGGCAACCACATCAGACAGAAAGGAAGACACCTGTGAGCTATCCATTCCAACTATCAAACTCTACATAGAATGAATAGGAGAAAGCAGCACAGCAGAGGGGTACAGGAAGGAGCAGAGCATGAGAACGAGGGGGAGGAAGAGCAGAGGAAGAAGGGGGAGGAAGAGCAGAGCCGCAGCGAGCAGCAGAGGAAAGAGGAGGGGAGGATATACCTGCCAGTCGCGCGGAGCAGAGCAGAGTCGCAGGGCTGGAATCGGTCGTGGAAGCGGACGGCACCGGAGTCGGTCGCGGCTCGCGGCGGATGAAGCGGGATTTGGTCGCGGACGGCGCCGGAGTCGCGGACTGTCGGAGTCTCGCGGTCGAATGGAGCAGTCGCTGCGCGGACAGGCGGCCTCGCGCGGCTGGGATGGACTTGCGTGGGGCAATCGCCTGCGCCGCCGCTGCCGCCGGATTTGAGGTGCGCCGCCGCCCTCTCCTCTCTTCCTCTCTCCTTCCTATCCCTATCCCTCTCTCACTCTCTCAGAGGCGATGGGGATTGGGAGCCTTTGGCAGGAGGTGTCGGCGCGGTGCCGCTGCTTTTCCCGCGTGAGGGCATCGCGCCGCTCTTTTCCCGCCCGCTCGAGCGCGCGGCGCCGCTCTTTTCCCGCGCCTTTTCGTCCCGCGGCGCCCGCCTCAGCGAGAAGGACGACTAGGCGACGACTTCGACCGCGAGGCGATGCCATACGCCAGGAGGACGCGGCGACAACGACGCCAGGTTTGAAAACCCGCTCGGGCGACTAGTCGTCGCCTAGGCGACGCCTTAAAAACTATGGCGCTAATGTCAAATGTATGCCAAGTTGCCAGTGGCATCAAGTCAGTACTGACAACTTGTCTCCTGATCCTCGTCATCTGTATGGGGGTAGTTTAGTTTGAAGCGGTGACATGATACAGGACCTGGTTTTCTTGTTTGGATCAACTTCTTTTTTAATTGCTGGCTGCAGTATAATGATATTCCTGCTATGGCATTTAAGATGTTGCTTCTTTCTTTCTCATTTTATGATGAACGCAGTAATCTTCATCAAACCATAGATGTGCTGAAGCTTAAGTTTAACTGACATTTTCATTGATATTTTTTAATTACAATTACAATTGTTGGTGTTCACCTGAGTGGTTCTCCTGATTGTTCTGACAAGCTGTACTTTGAGGGAAAAAGTAGTTCCTGGCCATTTGCTGAGTTAGGGTTCTTCCCCTGAGTGATCCTCCTGAAAAGGGAAATGCTCTGAGTACAATCATTTGAATATAACTCAATTTTTTTCTCGAACATGCAGGAGAGCTCCGTATCATTTATATTAAGAAGGAAAAAGGTGTATGAGAAACACCAAAACAACAAAGACAACACCATAACACAACCTGACACACATAGCCACAACAAGCCCACACACACTCGCTAACAAACACTCCCAGACACACACAGTCACAACAAGTCCACACTCACAAATAAGGGACGGACGACGACCAACAACAACAACAACAACAAAGCCTTAAGTCCCAAACAAGTTGGGATAGGCTAGAGTTGAAACCTAGCAGAAGCAATCAAGGTTCAGGCACGTGAATAGCTGTCTTCCAAGCACTCCTATCTAAGGCTAAGTCTTTGGTTATATTCCATCCATTCAAGTTTCCTTTTATTGCCTCTACTCAAGTTAACTTCGGTCTTCCTCCGCCTCTCTTCACGTTACTATCCTGGCTTAGGATTCCACTACTTACCGGTGTCTCTGGAGGTCTCCATTGGACATGTCCAAACCATCTCAACCGGTGTTGGATAAGCTTTTCTTCAATTGGTGCTACCCCTAATCTATCACGTATATCATCGTTCCGAACTCGATCCCTTCTTGTATGACCGTAAATTCAACGCAACATACGCATTTCCGCGACACTTATCTGTTGAACATGTCATCTTTTCGTAGGTCAACATTCTGCACCATACAACATAGCAGGTCTAATCGTCGTCCTATAAAACTTGCCTTTTAGCTTCTGTGGTACCCTTTTGTCACATAGGACACCAGATGCTTGCTGCTACTTCATCCACCCTGCTTTGATTCTATGGCTAACATCTTCATCAATATCCTCGTCTCTCTGTAGCATTGATCCTAAATATCGAAAGGTATCATTCCTAGGCACTACTTGACCTTCCAAGCTAATATCTTCCTCCTCCTGAGTAGTAGTGCCGAAGTCACATCTCATATACTCAGTTTTAGTTCTACTGAGTCTAAAATCTTTGGACTCCAAAGTCTCCCGTCATAACTCCAGTTTTTTATTCACTCTTGTCCGGCTTTCATCAACTAGCACTACATCGTCCGCGAAAAGCATACACCAAGGGATGTCCCCTTGTATGTCCCTTGTGACCTCATCCATCACTAAGGCAAACAAATAAGGGCACAAAGCTAACCCTTGATGTAGTCCTATCATAATCGGAAAGTCATTCGTGTCTCCATCACTTGCTCGAACTTTAGTCACAAGATTGTTGTACATGTCCTTAATGAGCCCGACGTACTTTGTTGGGACTTTATGTTTGTCCAAAGCCCACCACATAACATTTCTTGGTATTTTATCATAAGCCTTCTTCAAGTCAATAAAAACCATGTGTAGGTCATTTTTCTTCTCCCTATACTGCTCCATAACTTGTCTTATTAAGAAAATGGCTTCCATGGTTGACCTTCCGGGCATGAAACCAAATTGGTTCATAGAGACCCGCGTTATTGCTCTCAAGTGATGCTCGATAACTCTTTCCCATAGCTTCATAGTATGGCTCATCAACTTAATTCCCCGGTAATTAGTACAACTTTGAATATCCCATTTATTCTTATAGATCGGTACCAATATATTTCTCCACTCATCAGGCATCTTGTTCGATCGAAAAATATGGTTAAACAACTTGGTTAGCCATACTATAGTTATGTTCCCGAGGCATCTCCACACCTCGATTGGGATACCATCCGGTCCCATCGCCTTATCTCCTTTCATCATTTTTAACGCCTCTCTGACCTTAGATTCTTGGATTCTCCGCACAAAGCGCCTATTG